AAGTGACAAAAACAGTGTTCTCCAGATATCTAAAGAGGTCCTGCAGAAAGTAAAGCCATTCTCTGGAACGAGTTTAGGAAGGTATTGCCTAATAAAGCCACAAAAGGCCCTAAAACACAGACTGAAGGATTGCAGTAAATTCAAATAAAATAACATGAAGGCAGTTTCCTTTTATTAGGATAATATAAACACAGTCAAGGTCACTTTTGCAGGCAAATTTGCAGGTAAACTGAAGACGGTATTTTAACATTTTTCAAAGACAGCAGCAGCTTTATTTCACCATGAGGCATTCAGTGTTCTTCAAAAACCCACAGAAAAATGGGTAAAGAACAACGCTATCAACATTGCCAACAACAGAGTGGATGTTTGTTTGGTAAAAAAATCACAACTACTCACAATTCTACATCAGATCCCATATAGAAAAGTACCAGATTACGACACAGCAAAAGAACAGCGGAAACAGATTTCCAATTTTTTAGGTGACACGAGTACTTCGTGCCAGACTACACAGACTTCGAAGAGAAATACATGGAGATCTGTGGGCGAAAAGTTCATACTGTATTTAAATGTCAAACTATGCAATGCCACAGCTACTGAGGAAAAGTATTTCAAGATAGCGACCTTAGCATTCCAAATGAATGATTTGACACTAAAAGACACCTCAAGAGACTCATTACTTCTCTCTCAGTGAGGACCTCTGTTTAATTAGCAGCTTCAGTTAACAAGCCCTTGCCCCCTAGTTGAGGCTTTCAGCTATAAAAAGGGTAATATATGAGGATATCACATTTTATTACATATTTATAAAACAAATAATGTGACCTCATCTGGAGTTCCTTGTGTGTAATTATTCACTGCAACTCAAAACTAGTGTTGCAGAATACAGGGGTTCATGGAAAGGCAACACAAATGATCAAAGTATAAAACCAACAATCATCATACTAAAAGGCAAAATGCTTATAGGAATCATACCAATGTTTATGAGTATCAAATTAATGTTTATGAGAACCATATTAACATCTCATTAATATGAAAACCAGAACTTTTACCTAGTTTACCTCTGACATTTAGGGATGCAGATGTGCAGACCATCACATATATCAAACAGAACTTCTCATAAAAATCTGTGCAATATAAAGAATTCTACCACTGTATGCCCACCTGGAGTTGAACCTTACATTAAAGTCAACACAGATGACTTCTATAGGTACACAAGTGACAAAAGAAAGAGTAGGGAAAATGTGGCCTGCTGCTGAATGGACAGGGGCCTGGTGACACAGGACGTGGAATAGTCTGAAGGCGCTGAATGCTCTCTGTCTTTACCAGCAAGTTCAGCCTCCAGAACTTCAAGAAGTTCAGCAAAGGAAGTGCAAAAATCCTGCGCCTGGGAAGGAACAAGCCCATGTGCCAGTACATGCTGGGGACCACCCAGCTGGTGAGCAGCTTTGCAGAAAAGGACCTGGGGGTTGCCAAGTTGAGCGTGAGTCACCAATCTGCCCTCACAGCAAAGAAGGATAATGGTATCCTGGGCTGCACGAGGAGTGTTGCCAGCAAGTCGAGGCAGGTGATCCTTCCTCTCTGCTTCAGGTGAGGCCACACCCAGAGTGCTGTGTCCAGTTCTGGGCTCTCCAGTACAAGAGAGATATGGACATACTGGAGAGAGTCCAGCAAAAGGCCACTAAGATAATGAAAGGACAAGGGGCAACAGGTGCAAGCTGGAGTACAGGAAGTTCCATAAAAACACAAGGAAAAACTTTTTCACTGGAGGGTGACAGAGCACTGGCACAGGCTGCCCAGGGAGGTTGTGGAGTCTCCTCCTTTGGAGACATTCAAACCCCGCCTGGGTGCGTTCCTGTGTGACCTATCCTGTGTGATCCTGCTCTGGCAGGGGGGCTGGACTAGATGATATTTTGAGGTCTCTTCCAATCCCTAAATTCTGTGATTCTATGATCTCTCATATGAGGAAAGTCTGACTGAGCTGGTACCATTCGGCCTAGAGAAGATTCGGGGAGATCTCATCAATGTGTACAAGTATCTGAAGGGAAGGTGCAAAGAAGATGTAGCCAGGCTCTTTTCAGGGGTGTGCAGCCATAGGACAAGAGGAAACAAGAAACAGCTGAAACACAAGAGGTTCCACCTAAACATAAACAAACACTTTTTCACTGTGAGGCTGACTAAGTACAGGTTGCCCAGGAAGGCTGTGGACTCTGCACCCTTGGAGATGATGAAAAGTTGTCCAGAGACAGTTCTGGGCAACCTGCTTTTTGTGACTCTGCTTGAGCAGCAGCGGCTGGACCAGATGACCTCCAGAGGTGTCTTCCAATCTCAACCATTCTGTGATTCTATGAAATGTTGATCTGTTTGTAAGGTGGCAAAAGGTAAATCAGGTATCTAGCTGATCATAATATATTAAATTCTGTGGATTTATGTCTCTTCCTTAAACCAACTTCACAAGAATAACTGCTGTGACAAGTAAAGAATTCTTTTAATTAATAATTATCTGCATTTACAATACACGTAATGTGAAAGCAGCACAACCTATCAAATGAGCATCCTAATTCTATTTGTGCGCTCCTACTGATTAAGTGCCTGTATGCCATCAGAGTCTTAAAAGTTACAGCTGCATAGAAATAAACCATTTTGGTAAACTCAATGTTAGACAGATAAAGAAAATATTTTGATCTACTGCCAGTTTGTGGTTAAGGTCCTTACAAGCACAGAAGACAACTGCCAAGCATGGTAACTAGCCGTACAGCAGGTAAGGAACACAATGCATTGTGTGAATGGAAATGCTGCTCCATAAGAGGTTATTCTCACCTCCTTGCTAAATTAAATATTTCTTTCATCTTTCACATATACAAACAAAAGTAATCAGTGCCTTTTTAAAAAAAAATACTTAGAAGCA